AAGGGTTCTAACAAGCTTAGTGATAGCAGCAAAGTGGAAAGGAAAGTTGTGAGAACGATAGAGCTTAAAGAAGAAATAATTGCTCCCTGGCTGGTGTTGCTCAGTGGTTAGAGTGTTGGCCCGAGTCCGAGAGGTCATGGGTTGGATTCCCTGCCAAGGGGCGCATACCTGGGTAGCAGGCTTAATTCCCTGCCCTGGTCAGGGTGAGTGCAGAAGGCAACAGTTGATATGTCTCTCTCATGTAGATGTTTTTCTCTCTCCCTCTCTCTCTCTCTCCCTCTCTCCGTCCCTCCCCCCCCCTTCCCATTTCTTCCTCCCTTCCAAGGTCTCTAAAAATCAATGGAAAAAATATCCTTAGGTAAGGATTAAAAAAAAGCCCTGGCCGCTGTGACTCAGTAGTTGGAGTGTCGGCCCTTGCACTGAAGGGTTGCAGGTTTGATTCCCGGTCAAGGGCAGATGCCTGAGTTACAGGTTCAGTCCCCATCCCCTGTTGGGGCATGTGCAGGAGGCAACCAATTGCTGTATCTATCTCTCTCCCCCTCCCTCCCTTCCACTATCTCTAAAAAAAGAATCATCAGTGGAAAACATATCCTTGGGTAAGGATTAACAACAACAACAAAAAAAGAAAAAGAAAAAAAGAAATAATTGCAAAGTATGATAAAGGTGTTTGTGTGTCTGACCTGGCTACCGAGTATGGCATGGTGAAATTGACTATTAGCACAATTTTATTTTATTTTTTAAATAAATCTTTATTGATTTCAGAGAGAGGAAAGGAGAGGGAGAGAGAGAGATAGAAACATCAATGATGAGAGAGTCATTGATTGGCTGCCTCCTGCATGGCCCCGACTGGGGATCGAGCCTGCAACCCGGGGATGTGCCCTGACCTGGAATCGAACCCTGATCGCCTGGATCCTAGGTTGATGCTCAACCGCTGAGCCATGCCTGGCCAGGCTATTAGCACAATTCTGAAACATAGAGACCGTCAAGAGTGCTGATGTTGTCTGGCCTGGCTTGGCTCAGCGGTTGAGTGTTGACCTAGGATCCAGGTGATCTGGGTTCGATTCCCAGTCAGGGCACATGCCCGGGTTGCAGGCTCGATCAATGACCCTCTCGTTGTTGATTTTTCTCTCTCTCTCTTCCTCTCCTTTCCTCTCTCTGAAACCAATAAAGATATATTTAAAAAAAAAAAAGTGCTGATGTTGCTAAGGGTGTGAAAGTGTTCACGAAACAATGATCACAGGCAATTGAGAAAGGTTAAAACGGAATCATTTAGGAGAGTTGGAATAGATGAATTCAATTTACATTATTTCTAATGGTAAAAAAATGATTTGGTTTTCGAACAAATTACTTCTAGAACAGCCTTCCAGAACGAATTAAGTTTGAGAACCAAGGTTCCGCTGTGTTTCTTACCATTTCCTTCTGGCCTGCAAAGTTTCTTCTGAGAAATCAGCTGACCGTCTTATGGGAGCTCCCTTGTAGGTAACTTAATTGCTTTTCTCTTGCTGCTTTTAAAATTCTTTGTCTTTAACCTTTTGCATTTTAATGATGATGTGTCTTTCTGTGGGCCTCTTTGGGTTCCTCTTGTTTGGGATGCTGTGCGCTTTCTGGACTTGTAAGTCTATTTTCTTTACCAAGTTAGGGAAGTTTTTGTTGTTATTTTTTCAAATAGGTTTTCAATTTCTTGCTCTCTTCTTCTGGCATCACCATGATGCGATTGTTGGTACACGCGAGGTTGTCCCAGAGACTCCTGACACTGTCCTCATTTTTTGGATTCCTTTTTCTTTTTGCTGTTCTGATTGGTTGTTTTTTGCTTCTTTATATTCCAAATCGCTGATTTGATTCTCAGCTTCATTTATTCTACTCTCGATTCCCGGTAAACTATTCTTCATTTCAGTTAGTTATCCCTCATCTCTGAGTGGTCCTTTTTTATGCTGTTGAGGTTCTCACTAAGTACCTTGAGCATCCTTATAAACCAGTGTTTTGAACTCTGCATCTAGGAGATTGCTTATGTCCATTTTGTTTATTTCTTTTTCTGGAGTTTTGTTCTTTCATTTGGGACATGTGTTTTTTGCTTCTCATTTTGGCAGCCTCCTCCCTGTGTTTGTTTCTATGTATTAGGCAGAGCTGCCATGTCTCCCAGGCTTGGTAGAGTTGCCTAAGGTAGTAGATGTCTTGTAGGGTCCATTGGCACAGCAACCTGATCACCTAAGCTGCGCACTTGAGGTATGCCCCCGTGTGGACTGTGTACATCCTCCTCTTGTAGTTGAGCCTTGATTGTTGTTGACACATCAATGGGAAGGATTTACCCCTGGGCCGACCAGCTGCAAGGACTGGCTACGACCACTGACCATTAACTTCCGACCGATCAGCTGTGCAGGGACCCACTCCACTGAGCAGGACTTACTTCAGCAGGTCTCTGATACCCACTGAGTCAGCCACTTGACTGTGTCGCTTGTGGTTGGGTAGTAGTGCTTTGATGTGGTCTGAAGCTCCACTCTGGCACTTCCTAGGAGGTGCAGGCCAAGGTCAGCCACTGCCTGCATTCTGCCCTAGGGCCACCCAGCATGAGCTACAAAGCAATCTTCAAGTTGCTGCTACTTGTGCTGGGCTTGGAGGTCCCCAGGCAAGGCCAGCTGCTGCTAGTGCCAGGCTGGGGCCACTTAGCGAGAGGTACAGGACACACTGAAGCCAGATGCTGCTTGTTTGAGCGATTTTAGGAAAATCTGAAGCATGAGCCAAGACAGACCATTTGCATGGAAAACCCACTGGAAACAGCTTGGGTCGGCCCCAAAGTTGAGTGGGGCAGGTCCTCAGGGAATCACCAGGGGAGGACAAACAGTATGAACCAGGTTAATTGAGTCTCAGATATGACACAGACCTGCCAGCTCTGGGAGGGGGGGCTCATCAAAGGAACAATGGCTTCTGCCTGAGCTTCTGTCTGGCAGAAAGTTGCCCCCCAGCTCTCGCCCTGATGCCAGACAATTCTGTTCCTCCCCTTATGTCTCTGGTGCCTTTCGAGCTGCTGCCTTTGTGCTGGAGCTCAGAGGGAGAAAATCAGAGTTAGTGTGTGTGCTGGCTCTTTAGGAGAAGGTGCCTGGGACTCCAGCAACCTCAGCCTCCCTCAGCCTCAATCCTTGCTCGTTTTTACAGCCAGAAGTTATGGAGACTTCTCTTCTGGCACTGGAACCCTGGGCTGGGGGGCCTGTTGTAGGACTGAAACCCTCCTGCTACCTCTGCAGCCAAGATACTCCAATTTTTATCTACCACACATGGGTGTGGGACCAGCTCGTTTCACATCTCTGCCCCTCCTACCAGTCTTGACGCGGCTTCTTAATATCCTTAGTTGTAGGACTTCCATTCAGCCAGATTTCAAGTGGTTCTGAATGATGATTGTTGTATAATTTAGTTGTACTTTTGATATGGTTGAGGGAGGCGGTGAGTACTGTGTTTACCTAAGCTGCCATCTTGACCAGAAGTTCAGTTGATTATTTATTTTTAACATATTTTTATTGATTTCAGAGAGAGGAAGGGAGAGGGAGAGAGAGATAGAAACATCAATGATGAGAGAGTCATCATTGATCAGCTCCCTCCTGCACGCCCCCTCCTGGGGATTGAGTTGACAACCCAGGCATGTGCCCAGACTGGGAATCGAACTGCGATCTCCTGGATCATAGGCCAGTGCTCAACCTCTGAGCCACACCTGGCCGGGCCAGTTGATTATTTAACCCTTTGCGGTCGTTTGTCTACTCTCAGCCACCAAAGCTTTTTTACCGTCCTGGTTGTATGTCTGCTCTCAGCTACCACAGCAAGGAACCGTACGAATCTTAACTCCATTCATGTATCAGTTCATAATTTCTCTTGTTTATCCTTCATAATTTTGCATGTTATGTATCACTGCTCTTTCAATGGAAATTAATTCTGACCAGTACGACACCCATGTCCAAATTTAATACGACCGCAAAGGGTTAAATAAGTGAAAACAGGAATACATACTCTTGGTTTAAAAAAGTGTCATAGTACAAAAAGTAGAAGATGAAAGGTGACCCTGATCCTCCTCTGCTTTTGCCTCTGAAAGGCTCCCCGTTGCCCACGGGAGGAAGATCACACACTCCCCTGGTTCGCACAGCCCTGAGCCATCAGGCTCCTGCTTCTACTGCAGCCCCATGGGCCCTCCTGGCCCTTCTTCCCTCTCAGGCTCTCAGCTGTCCTTTCACCCCAGACCCTGCAATATGGATTGGTGGCCTGGCCCTGGGCTCTGTACATACCCCTCCTTTGATGGTCTGATGGGCCATGTCAGTGGTACCTGCGTCCTTGTGGTCTCTGGGCTCTGCATCTCCTGTTGGCATCATGGAAGTGGGATAGTGTACGGTCAGCACTGCTGTTCTCACGTCCCTGCTGGTGTGATGCTGGGGGCTCCAGCCCCCTTTCTGTACCCAGGAGGAGGGTGGTAATGCCTGCCTTGGAGGGCTGTTGGCAGGGTTAATGGATTACTGTGAAGAGTGCTGGGAACAGGGCCTCTCCTGTAGGGAGTGCCCACTGTGAGCTGCTGCTTGTATCCGTAGCTGCTGTTTTTCAGTGTTGCACCTGCACATTTGTGAGGACGCTCAGGGACATAGGCTCCTGGGGAGCTGGGAAGAAGTGGGGGAGCTGGGCTCTAATATTGTGTGCAGTGAGCGGGAGCTCAGCACAGGTTCTGCGCACATGAGTGTGTGCGAGGTGTTGCGTGGGGATGGTAAGTGGGCAGCAGGGAGCTGTGTGGGAAAGCAGGCTGGGGCTGTCAGCAAAGACGAAGACTACGCAGGCCCAGATACCATTTCCTCAGGGCTTTCTACCTCACAGCACCCTAAGGCTCTCTGAACAGTCCAGGAAGAAAGAAGCTACATTCACCCAAGAGGGCCGAGGTCTTTTCCCATTCCTGGCTTTGCTGCCCGGTTCAGGTTGACAGATTGAAACAAGTTACATATGTTTGATGAAGTGCCCTCCTCCCCCCTTATTTCCAGGCAACGCTCCTGTGGAGAAGTTGGAGGACTTCATCAACAACATTAATAGTGTCTTGGAGTCCTTGTATATTGAGATAAAGAAAGGAGTCACCGAAGATGACGGGAGACCCATTTATGCCCTGGTAAGTGCCAGACAGAGCCCTCTAGTGGCATTTGTTGGGAACTGGGACTGAGACAACTGCCCAGTGCCCTCTGTGGGAAGAGCCAGGGCGACCTGCCTCAGCAAGGGCTCTGAGATGGAGACAGACAGAGCCCTGTGCCTCCCGACCAGCTCTGTGCTCTGTGCTTCCCAGGCCCCCGTGGTCTGTAGTCTCTGTAGTACCCCTGCCATTACCAGGGCGGGGTGACCACAACATGTACCTGAGCGCTTGCCTCACTGCCCCCTAGGCACCAAAGTCACCCGAGTGTATGGAATATTAGCATTAAAGAGATAAAGTGCCTTTCATTTGGAACAAGACAAACTATGAAAAGAAAAGGTGTGTGGGCACAATGGATTGAGACTCCTGTTTTCAGATTTTCCCTTCCAGCTAGGGAACGAGTGAAAGAGAGGTGAGAGAAGCTGACAGGCCCCACATCCTTGGCTAGGGAACTGCCTTAGGCTAATCAGAGATCAGGCTGCTACCAGCCAGGCCCACACAGACAGGGACTCCAGAGCAGGGTTTCCCAAGCTCTGTGCCAGAGGAAAAAGGATTCAAATAACTGTGGAAATGCTGGTTTAAACAGGTGGGTCAGATTTCTTTACTGCCCTTTTCAGTGCTTTGTGCATTCGAAGCTCCATTGGCATGCAGACAAGTTTTCCAAATTTTTCTGAGTTTGGAAAATATTGTACAACTTCTAGAGTTCTCAGATCTCTGAGAATTAGCATGTTGACTGAGCTAAAGTTTTATGTCTGTAATATAAGACTGGTTATAAATCCATCCCTGTGGCCCACAGGGCCTGGGCATAGGTGCTCAGTGACTGACGAGGGGGGCAATAGGGAGGGAGAACCAGTGAGTGAATTAACTGACAAGTGAAGGGCACAGCCTGACCATCATGCTGACTTATTTTTTAGGTGAATCTTGCAACGACTCCAATCTCCAAAATGGCCTCAGATTTTGCAGAGAATGAACTGGACCTGTTTAGAAAGGCTGTAAGTTATGGTAACTCTCGTCGGTGGAGCTTCTTATGGGAAACTTTTGCCTTCATCATTAGAAGTGGAAACTGCAGTCCTCAAAGGTCACCCCCATTGCTGCCCAAGAAAGCCTTTGCAGGGGGATGTCAGTGAGCGCATCACCCGGAACTTGCAGCTGCCCCGTGATGGACGGGAAGGTCACTGAGGCTGCCTGGGAGAGAAGGGCTGGTCCAGGTGTGACCCCTGGCTGGTCATTGGCCTCGTGGGTGTGGGATTGCAGGTGAACAAGCGTTACTGCAGACACCGGCAGTGCGGTTTGGGACCAGCAGCATCACCTGGGAGCTTGCTGGAATGACCTCATCCCACCCTCACCCAGACCCTTGAATCTGAGTGGGTCTTAACAAAGTGCCCACTGATTCATTGGCACATTTACACTTGAATGGCACTGCTCTGCCTGCCCTGCTTCAGAGCTCTTTACTCAGTCTTTTCATTCACCTGGCGGAGTACCTGGGTAAGACAGTGGTTTTCAGCCCTAGATGTACATTTCAGTAACTGGGTAGGTAACAATAATTTCGACATTTGGCCTCACAACAGGTCTGTCGAATCCAGGGTCCTAGAATCATTCCTTTCTAAGCCTCCTCTGGTGACAGCAGCCAGGCTTGAGAACCAGGCTCTGAGACATTGGACATATCCTCTGTGTCCAGGAAGCCTGTCTTTCCCCAGTGACTCTGCCCTGTTGGGGCCACCTGCCTGTCAGCCTCTTCTGGCCTGGTCCACAGTGCTGCTGTGGCTCCCAAGCTTTCTTGCTTCCCAACCCACTCTGGCTCTGCTTTCCTGCCCTTGCTGGCTCCAGCCTGCCAGTCGCACCAGCCTCGATGGCCTGGCTGCCTTTGAGTCCGAGGGATGCTGCTTCGATTACCCAGTCATTCATTCTCAGCTACTCCCCTTCAGGGAGGCAGGGACCTGAGGGGTGAGGTGACCCTCCCTGACTGGGGGCATGGAGAGCATTTATTTAGGATGATGCCACAAGAGTGACTATTGAATTAGAAGGCGTGAACATGGTCATGCCTTTCTTAAGAGTGGATTTTAGAGAGAGGAAGGAAGGGGGGTAGAGAGAGAAACATCGACGTGAGAAACTTCGATCGGTTGCCTCCCGCATGTACCCCAACCAGGAATCGAACCTGAAACCTGGCTATGTGCCCTGCCTGGGAATAGAACCACCACCCTTCGGTACACAGGACAACATTCAACCAACCGAGCCACCCAGCCAGGGCAGTTTATGGCTTTTGATGCATGTGATGAGATTGTTTTCCTGAAGGATCAGACCTGTGTACAGTTCTGCCTGTGATATGAGTAGTTTTATATTCCTGCGTAAAACTTGTGTTTGCCAATTGCCAATTTAATAGATACCTGCTGTTTCTTCCAGTTGGAACTGATTATTGACTCAGAAACTGGCTTTGCCTCTTCCACAAATATTTTGAACATGGTTGATCAACTTAAAGGCAAGAAGATGCGGAAGAAGGAAGCCGAGCAAGTGCTGCAGAAGTTTGTACAAAACAAATGGCTGATTGAGGTACTCCGCCCTGTGGTTTCCCAGCCAGCTTGGCTAACTTTTTAGAATTAATAGTAATTTTTCCCTCAACACTATATTGTATCCAACTGATGTCCGTTGAGCCTTTCAGGTCCTTTATCTGCTTTGATGCCCACAGTAACCCTGTGAGGAAGATTTGGAGCCTCCTGATCACTCATGTGCTCTGTCCAGGGGGCCACAGCCAGTGGCAGAGCCAGGGCTTGTGCTGAGGTTTGTAGACTCCAGGATTTGAGCCCTGGTCCCTAGACTGCGAGGCAGTGTTGTACAGTGGTCAGGAGCACAAGTGTAGTGTCAGGTCTGGGCCTGACTCGTGCCCCAGTGGCCTCGTGGCCTTGCTCTCTGCCTCTGTAATAGTGCTCACCTCAGGGCTGTGAAGGTCAGAATGATTAGTGTGTGTCAGGTATCCAGAAATGCCTTCATTGCCATGGTTACCACTGTCACCAGGAGGACACGTAGACAAACTTTTGGAGGTGTGTGGAAATCTGTGAGAGGACCGGACTGCAGGCTTGAGTTTCTAGATGCCCCATGTCTCGTTCTGCTGACTGGAGCGGAACCGATGCTTTCGTTCTTTTTTCACAAAAGGCATCCATGTTTCCAAGGAACCTGAGCTGGACAGGCTCCCCCCCTGCCCAGTTTACCACAGTGCCACACTGTCTGAGTGCCCGTTGTCTGCAGGACCACTCAGCGTGGCCTCAGCTTTCCCACTTGGTGGTCAGACCTGGGCTCGAGTCAGCTGGTGGCTAACATGTCTTCTTCACTTCCTTTCGGGGGAGAGATGCCTCTGGTTGTCATAGTGACAGTGTTCGGAGTTAGTGATCCCTCGGGATGGGCTGTCCCTGGCAGTCTGACTGCATATGGTCAGTTCTGGGGTACTTTCCTGATGGGAGGAAGATTGCCCGAGAGGTCATGGGCTGGCGGGAGCTCCAGTGCCAGGATCTCTGGGCATGTGGTGCCCATGATGCCCTCAGGTCCTCCCAGCCACCCTGTGACAACCAAGAAGCCCTTAGCTCTGTGTTTTAGCTGAACAACTTCAGCTCCGTGGTCTGGGTGATGTCCCACACTCAGCAAGTGGCACAGTCATCTTTAGAGTCATATTAGGGTGGCTGCAGCTCCCCATTAATTGCTTTGTCAGTTTTTCTTGCTTTCTGGGTGGATTCAGGAATATAGAACATGCCTGGGCAGCTATAGCTGACCTCACTCTGTCCTCCAGCCAAGCTCTTCAAGGCAGAGGCTACAACTTCCTCACATTGTACCTTGTCACACCTGTGAGCACTTGGTAAATGCTGAATGGGTGACTGGGCAGATGGTGTAGCTCCAGAGGAACAGAATTTATTTAAAACTTACAAAGGATGATACCAGAAATTCTGGTATTTGTAGAGAAACAAATTGAAGCCATGTTACCTCACCCGTGAGAGCTGACCAGCCCAGCATCCAGTCCACCCTCCGCACCCTGCCTTGGGCTGGGACCCAGCACGCTCTGCAGCCGATGCTGGTGTCAGCCCGTGATGGTTACAGGGATGTGTGCCTGACGTTATTGTTGGACTCACCCTGGGCCCTAGCCCTTTGCTGCTCAGAGAGGCTGGGGAACATGCCTCTGTGGTCTGTTGGACTTGAGCTTTGGGTCCAGGCTCCTGTCTTCTGTTTCTTCCTCAGTAAAATGAAGACGCCAGGGCCGCCTTCCTCAGGGGTGACTCTGAGCTCCAGTGAGATGGTGGGTCAGGTTCTGTGAGCGGCCAAGTGAGGGAGCCCTGCAGAAATGAGTGTGTGCCCCCTGCACCCCTGGGCTCTGGCGACCCCGTGGGAGCCCTTTTGTCGACTGGCGCTCGGCCTCACATGGGCAAAGAAGCAGACCCAGTGGGGCAGTGGGAGACTGCTCCGGGTTCCTCCTCTGGCATGTGGCTTCTTGCCTGGGCTTGTTCCCATCCAGAGACTGTTGATTGCTGTCAGGTGTCTTTTGTGAGGGTTGAGTGCTTTCTGAACTGGTTGGCACCATGAGGATTGCCATGAGCTCTGTGGCAGTTTGGAGGACTAGCTGGGGGCCTGTGGATGGGTGCTGGTTGGTGCCCAGACCAGCCTTCTGGGGGCAGCACCATGATTAGAGGGACTGCATCTGATCAGAGGGACTGCAGTCCTCAGTCTCAGAAATGGGACCTTATAGAGACTCATACTTGTGGGCACATCGCCCCGGGGGCACTTCATTATCACCGGAGACTCTAGTGCGGGGGCCTGCTCTGTGCCCTGCGCAGCACTCCCTGCAGCATGGAGGTGTGGAGGTGGCTGTGTGGCCTGTCAGAGGCCCTGAGTCGGGTAGTCAGATGCAAGGCTGCGAGGCCTGGGACATCACGTGTGTGGTCTTCTCTAGAGGGCCTGGCACCCATCCTGGCCACCCCGCCTGGCCCTGTGACGTACCCACAGGGCTGATAGGATCACGAATGGTAAGCGCTGGGCAGTTTCAGGCACATAGTAGATGTTAGTCCACGTCGCCCGATCCTGACTCTGAGCTGGAACAAGGTCTGCTTAGTCTTCCCTCAGATGTTCATCAGGGGTTGAGGGCCGGGTCACCTCAGTGCTGGGGACACAAGAGAGAGCAAAGCCAGGCCAGCTCACTGCTCTCAGGGCTCACGTTCAGGGGGACAGGGTGGGGGGCGGGAGGAGACACACACACCAGAAATTAGTCAGACATCTCACTGAAGTACTTACAGATAGAAAGCAAACATGTTGTTATAACTTTAACAAAGGAGTCTGCCTGCAGCTGAGGACTGCCATTGAGTTGGGGTGGGAAAGGTTATCCAGGCTGAAGGAGCAGCCTCTGCAAAGGCCCTGTGTCCCTAAGGGGACATGGTGCTCCAGGAGCTAAGGACAGAGTATGTGGAGCACAGGGTTGTGGGGGACAGTGGGACACAGTGAGCCTAGCTATGGGCACACAGGGGATTGGCTCTTCAGACTAAGGGGGGGGCAGCCCTGAAGGCTGGAGACAGAGAGGGACAAGGCTGGTTTGCCCGGCAGATGTCAGGCTGTTGGAGAGTGTTACAGAGGGGCATGAGTGGGCTGGGCACAGCTAGGGGGTGAAGGTGGCTGTGGACATGGACACCACACACATCTGGGAGCTTGGGTGAAGGAAGCAGCCACAGCACTATGCATAGCTTCTGAGATGCACAGGGCCCCTGCCCACTTGGGCTGGCCTGACAGCCTGCAGTGCGGTGCTGGGTGCGAGTGCCACCCGCCTGCGCTCCCTCTGGGTGGTTACTCAGGCCTGCCGTTGGTGGCCCTGGGTGGAGTGAGTGCTCTTCTGGGCTTGGTCACACAGGCACACCATTTCCTCAACACTCATGTGGGGATGGGGGCAGGAGCCACGGTGGGTGGTGTTTAATGTTAGAAACAGGAGAAATTGCTCTTGCTTGTTGTAAAACTTAGGACTGAATAGACATACAGGAGCACTTGGGGATGGCATGGAGGCTTAGTCTTCAGTGGCATCTCCTGGAGAGGCACCTCCTTCTCTCCCACCAGAGATGAGGCTCGAGCCTAATAAATGCTTGATAGGTTCACATCCCATTCGTGGTGGACTTTACGGATTGAGTTAAACTTACAGGGGCTTCGGTGATATTTGCCTCTGAACGGGGTCTCCCTCAGCCAGCCCCCCCTCTTTCCTGTAACTTGTGACAGGCCAGCTGAGCTGTCTTTCCTTGGGTTTTCCTGCACTTCCTGGCTTTCCCAGGGATTTTAGGTCACATGGTGTGTGGACTGTGTCTGGACCTAGACACTGGGAGGCCCCACCACCAGTGCTACCACAGTGTGACTTGGGGCCTGTCCCTGCCCTGTCTGGACTGTTTCCAGCTTTGTCTGTAAAGTGATGTGGCCAGAAGTGATCTCGGGTGGTCCCTGTGGAGGCTTCTGGCAGTAGTGCTGAGAAGCACCTGATGTGCTTTCTGGGAGTTGGGTGCAGGTTGTCTTGAGTTCACCCCTTGGGGAGACTGCCTGTCTTCCTGGCCTGTGTCCCCATTTTAGGTGGCTGTGAGAGTGCATCACACATGGGCTGCTGTGCAGACTCATGACTCATCTATGAAGGCATAAGCGAGGTGCTAAGAAAATGTGGGGTTGGGGGTCCTCAGTTTTCTTTCAGGTCTTTGCCTAAGTTCCCGCTTGAGACTCTGCCAAAGGTCCAGCGTGGACCCCTGTTGGCTGGGGCTGGTGGAAACCTGCAGTGGTGAGGGGTGTCCAGGCCCCTGTGTCTTTCTGGGCCTTGGGTGGTGGGACCGTAGAGGGAACAGGATACTTAGAAGGAGAAGGTCTGGTGTGCAGCAGCTTGAGCGGTTGCTGCCCCATTGTGTCCCTGCAGAAGGAAGGAGAGTTCACCCTGCACACCCGGGCCATCCTGGAGATGGAGCAGCACATCCGGGAGACGTACCCCGACGCTGTGAAGATCTGCAATATCTGCCACAGTCTCCTCATCCAGGTGCCACCGCGGGCTCCCTGCCTGAGGCTCTGGCCCCCCGGGCCCTGTGGGCCTCTCACAGAACTCTGTGCCTGGCCTGTCATCTCCGTCACCTCCTGCGACGTGAGCAGGAGGGCCTCTCCTCAGAAGTGTCTGGGACGATCCCACAGATGCACCACCTGTTCCCTCCTGGCCTCTGCTCTAGTCCCAGGGCCCTTGACTATATTTGTACCTGTGTTATCTTGGCAGCTGTGTGGTGACCCACCTTCTGTGTCTATTGCTGGTTTTCTGAGTCCTCGGTTTTCTGTGGACTTTGTAGGGCTTCCCAGCTGCTGAACCAGTGCTAGACATTAGGTTCCCTCTTTGTGACTTTCCTCTTTGTGCAGTGGTAACTACACTCCGGTGAGCTCCTTTGCACCTGCTGCCCTGGGTGCCTGGTGGGTGAGTGCTTCCTTTGGCTGGATTCCTGGAAGTGGAATTTCTGGGACAGAGAGTGTACATGTTTTTAAGCGTTTGAAATACATCGCCAATGCCTCTTAAAAGCTGTAGCTCCCCCAGGCCCACCTGCAGGCTGTGAGGCTCACACGTGTGGGGAGCTGAGGGTCAGGGTGGCCTTGCAGCTTTGCGGGGCCTGGCTGGCCACCGCTGCCCACTCTGGACGTGGAGTCTTGAGCTTGCATCTTTTGGAATTCTTTAATATGACACACTGCACTGATGGCTTGGGGTTATCATCATTATTAACCTGGGGCTTGGAAGACAAAAATACATAGCCTGCTGGGCAACTTTCTGAAGGTCTGTGAGCAAGGAGGTGTGTCCATGGCACCACAGCTGTCGCTCTTGTTTCAGGGTCAAAGCTGTGAGACCTGTGGGATCAGGATGCACTTACCTTGTGTGGCCAAGTATTTCCAGTCGAATTCGGAGCCTCGCTGCCCTCACTGTAACGACTACTGGCCCCACGAGATACCAGGTTGGTGCCCCTGGGTGCTCATGGGCTCTCATGCCCTGTGGGAGGGGCTGGGCTGGGAGGACTGGTGCAGGCACTGAGGGAGCCCTGGGAGGTGGGGTGTGTGGGGTCGGCATCAGCATGGCCTGAGCCCACATGCTGAAGCAGTGTCTGTGGTAAGTGAAGGCTGCCTTGTTGGCACGGTCGGGGGGCTTGCTGGAACCAAGTAGAAATCCCGGGGCTTGTGGGGCTGGCCTAGGCAAGGCTCTCTCCCCAGCAGCTCTGCGGAGCGGGGATGGAGGCGGCCACAGCTCCCTCAGGCTGTGCATCTGGAAACTGGCTCATCCTCTTGTCCTCGTGGGGAGGGGGCCAGCAGTGAGGCTGTGAGACAGGGCACGGCCCTGGGCACGGCCCTGGGCACGTCAGGTGTCGTTGTGAACGTGAGCTATTGTCAGAGCACAACCAGCCCTGCCGTTCGTGTCTCCTGCGTTTTCTGTGTCCAGAAGTCTTCGACCCTGAGAAGGAGAGGGAGGCTGGACTCTCCAAATCGAACAGAAAGTCCTTGCGATCCAGGCAGCACTAGATGGTGTGCTGAGGCCCAGGCTGGAAGATGTCAGTGTCTCTCGTTTCACATGGTCACCCCTTTGTGCTTTATTTTCACTTATTAGCAGGTTTGAAATAAAACTCACTGAGGAGTCGCTGCAGCCTCCGTCCGTTTGTGCACTCGTCTGTGGGAGGTTCCCATCATGGCAGTTTCCTTCTTTCCTGGAGCTGATAGTGGGTCCCCTTGGGTTGGGTCCCGGCAGGGGAAGGTACCAGACAGAGTTCATGTACAGCGCCGGCCCAGGGTGGCTCACTGTCCTTGCTCAGGGTGGCCTTTACCAGCAATCTCTAGCCCTGGTTACTTGTCCCCAACACTGGCCAGCCCAGCCTGGACTTGTGAGGGCCTTGGCCTTGGCCTCACAGTCTGGACTCTCCTCCTGCCTGTGATGCAACTGGCCCAAATGGGCATGTGACCAGCAGGCTGAGCTGAAGGTGCTCTCCTCACTGGGCCCTCTGCCCCGGCTCAGTGACTGGCAGCCCTGCCCATCAGCTGCCCCAGCTGGGAGCTGGGGGGTCGGCCTAGATGCCTCCCCCTCCCTGACCTGCTGCACCAAACCTGTCACCACATCTGTGCAGCCCACCTGCCAGGTGGCCCCCAGCCCACCACTGCTGCTGGGGTCAGTCCCTCCCCTCACATCCCTTCTGCACCTGCTCCTCACTGATCCCGCCTCCAGGCTGCCCACCCGCTCCATCTTTTTTACCACAGTGACCGTCCCATGATGCCAGTCAGCCTGGGCACCCCTGCTGAAGACCGGTGACCACTGACAAGGACTCGAGTCTAGGCACACAGGACTCAGGAGGCCAGATGAGGAGGCCCCTGCCCACCCCACAGCCTTTCCCTCCTCTTCGGCAGCGCAGCATTCCTCCCAGTTCCCAAGTGAGGTCCGGCTCCTCCCTCTGAGCCTTTGCTTAGTTGTCCCCTCTGCCCATATTCTTTCTTGTGTCCTGCTTGTGCCTGCTGACACCTGCCCACCCTTTAGGTCTTGGCTGGGCTGTCACTACCTCCAGCCCCAGCCCCCCAGCCCCGCACTTCCTGGGTCATCACACGTGCCACACTATTTTAACTCCCTGTCTCTCTTCCCCTCAGTACCAGTCAGGACCCTTTTAGTCATGACAGAAAACCCAGCTTGAACTGGCTTAAACAAGGAAGGACTTGGCTAGAGGGGGCCTTCAGGAGAGGCTTGGCCTGGTGGTTCCGGTGTCAGTCACCAAGCATCCAGACTTCTCCCTCTCGTCAGTGGGCTGGCTCAAGCTTGGGGCCTAGATGATGTTCTAGAAAATCCAGCCCCTTTCCTCCTGGTGGCAAAACGGCTGCACCACTTCCAGCCTTACACGCCCCTGCCCAGTGTCAGGAGGAAGTGGGTGGGTCTCAGTGGCTCCCCCACTCTGCAAACATCCTCATGCTTTACAGTCCAGTCTGGATACTTACAGAGGCAGGGACAGTAGAGTCCAATTGGCATTAGCACATCGCCACCTGGCTGAGAGTGAGAGGGGGTTCTCCCTGAGCACGTTGAAGATGCTGTTACCAGGCAGAGAGTGAACGAACTGTGGGCACCGAGTGGGTGGGGAGGCCTCCATCTGCTCTGCCCGGTTCACCCCCACAAACCCAGTGTGGAGCAGGCATCTAGGACCTGTGAACAGGTGACACCTGCTGGCGGGATGCCCACCCTCCCAGCTGCGGTCTTGCGCCTGGAGCCCTCATGCCAGCCTCCCAGGCAGTGAGAAGGCTGGAGCCTCGGTGAGCTGGCCTGGGGTCCTGCCCAGCCCTCAGAAGGCATGTGCCAGCCCACTGGCAAAGGCCTATGGGTGCTCGCACTGGGTGGCGGGTTCAGTTTTGTCAGATAGGCAACAGGAGTCATCCCTGGTCATCTGAAGAAAGATTTTTGTTTTAAAAATATATCTTTATTGATTTCAGAGAGAGGAAAGGAGAGGGAGAGAGAGAGAGAGAGAAACATCAATGATGAGAGTCATTGATCAACTGCCTCTGCACGCATGTGCCCTGACCGGGAATCGAACCCCAATCGCCTGGATCCTAGGTTGACGCCCAGCCGCTGAGCCACGCCCGGCCGGGCTGCAGAAGGACTTTTGGATGGGAGTGAGAGAGCTTGCAGAGAGAACCAGCCCAGAAAAGACTGGGTGGCAAGAGTCACTTGGCCACATGGCACTGCTGCCACCATAAATGAGCCCCAGCTGTTTCACTCACCCTCCCAACCTCCTCAGGATGCAGTGCCAGGGGCTGGCCCGATTCACACTCCCGCCACTGCTGGGCTGCACTCTGGGGCAGCCCATGAACAGACCCCCGAGGAGCTAAGAGCAAACCAACCCCCTGGACGGGGGGCAGGGCAGCTCCTGTTCGTCCTGGCAGGTGGTCTTAACAGTCAGGGGGAGGCAGGGTCTTCCCTGCAGGGAGAGCTGAGTCCTAATTGTGACCTGGGGAGCTCTGAGCACCCTGCTGCTGGGGACAGGCCCTCCTACCGGTCTCCCTGTGATGATACCCACATGCACTCCCCGGACTCCTTGGCCCAACCCACCCAAAACCCTTACACAAAATCCCAAAGTCCTTGCCTAGCACTCCAGGCTGCTGTGGTGGCCCTGCCCACTCCCTGCACAGCCTGCCCTCCACAGTCGCTCTAGGAGTTACTCGACGGTGACACTCACCCTCTTCGGACTTCCCGTCTTCCCCCTTTCAGGCCCTTCTCACACAGCAACAGGCAGCCCACAGCTCTTGGCCTAGCAACCCCGCCCTTGCCACTGCTGCTGCAGTCCAGCCCCTGAGGACCTGCCCCGGCCCCTCCCCCTTCCG